AAGTATGTTGCATTAAAAGGATTTTTTTTTAAGTTAAAAGAAAAAAGAGAGAGAGAGGGAAAAAAAACCCTACAGATTAAAAAATGCATTGACTTTATTTGAATCCTGATTCAAACTAAACTAAGAGAAAGAGGGAGGGAGGAAAAGAGGAAAGAGAAGAGAAATGTTTATTGTTTTACATTGCTTTTTTACCCACTAAATTTAGGAGTCATTTGTTTGAGACAGAGTCTCACTCTGTTCCCAGGCTGGAGTGCAGTGGCACAATCTCGGCTCACTGCAACCTCTGCACCCCCTACCCCCACTGGAGTTCAGGCAATTCTCATGCCTTAGCCTCCTGAGTAACTGGGACTTGAGGGATGTATCACCATGCCGGGCTAATTCTCATATCTTTAGTACAGATGGGGTTTCAATATGTTGGCCAGACTGGTCCCAAACACCTGGCCTCAAGCAGTCCACCTGCCTCGGCCTCCCAAAGTGCTGGGACTACAGACCTGAGCCACCATGCCCGGCCAGAGTCATTTCCTACTGAGCAAAACATGACCAATGTACAAATCCACATAGAAAATCGGACGACTTAAGTAGAGGAACAAAGAGTCGTCATTTTGGATTCAGCCAGATTTGGGTTCAAATTCTGGATCTCCTCCTTGTTAAAGACGGGAAAGTGACTTAGGCCCTCTGCACTGCCAAGGGATAATCACGGTTAAGTGTCTAGGATTCTTACAACAAATTACAGACAGAATACATGCATATGAGTGCTTAGCAAATTGCCTTACACAAAATATAAAGTTGGCTAGCAGCTCTTGTTTACATAATCATGGTTAGGACGGCTCCCTCTAAAATAGCCTCCTTTGTACCTTCTCCTCCCACCACCCAGAATAAAAAGAAGATATCCAGGAAGAGGCTGATGGACATCTCCTGCAAAAGGCAGAGGGAGGCTGGTTCCACAGTACAAGGAGCTGCTCTTCTCGCGACTGTTTGTACGAAGCATCTGTTTCTACCTTTTTCGGTCTAAGACTACAGGATATGCTGCCTATCCCAGTGTGGAGAAACACTAGAGCTGGAGCATGGACCAAAGGAATACACACAGGAACTCAGAGCCTGATCATACTCCGGCTTGATCATATACACGCTTTGAAATGGTGTATTAAATAAGAGCATCCACATGGAATTTAAATTTAAGGGTTTTTTTTTTCCTCTCCTCAATCCATCAGCGGAAAAGGAGATTCGTTCTGAACTGGCAGTCTTTCTTTCATTTGTCGTTAAGTTTTACACACAAGGAAGTTTTAATGTCTGAAGATGGGGGTGATAAGAATAGAGTTACATGTGTTTCCCTGGCAGCCGAGTCACCAGCACTTAAATTCACAACTGACAGTCCTCAGAATCTAAAGACCTGTGAGTACTAAACTGTCATCTGCCTATCCATGAGAGATTTCACTTTGGCAGCATTTCAAAAGTAAAATCTCTCACTTTTTTATGCACATTTTCGCCACCACAATATTTCTCTAAGTCATGTAAAATCCCGTACTCTCAAGGGACAGATACAAAGAAGTTTGTGTGCTACAGAGGATTCTAAAAGGAAGATCACCGTTGCTTCTCAGTCTACGAGTATTTTCTAAAAACTCCAAGTCCTGTGCTAAAATCTGGGATTAGGGCAGAATGGGTGTGAGTTTCCTCCAAGGATTTCAGCTTGGTGACTACAAAAGGCACTTGAATTTGATGATTTCGCAACTACTTAATGGTTAAAAAATGAATGGTCCGGTTACAACGTGGAAGATGATCCTGTTATGTAACAGTTGGCTCTCTTCAGCAAAGCTGCTGGCTTCCAACACATGCTGATGGAGGAACCGGAGAAAGTCATTCAGAGGCAGTGGAAGTGAGCTCTCGCGTGGTATCAGGGAAGGAACAACAGAGAGAACGGAGTGAATTCCTATGCCTGTCACTAACCTGCAAAGTGACCCTGCAAAAGTCACGCACATTCTCTGAATCTGTTTCTATCACATTTAAAATGAAAGACAAGGCCGGGCACGGTGGCTCATGCCTGTAATTTCAGCAGTTTGGGAGGCCGAGGTGCGCAAATCACTTGAGGTCAGGAGTTTGAGACCAGCCTGGCCAACATGGTGAAACCTCGTCTCTACAAAAAATACACAAAGTAGCTGCGTGTGGTGTAACCCCAGTTATTTTGGAGGCTGAGGCACGAGAATCACTTGAACCTGGGGGGCCAGAGGCTGCAGTGAGCCAAGATCATACCATTGCACTCCACCCTGGGCAACAGAGCAAGATCCTGTCTCAAAAAATAAATAAAGAAAATGAAGTAATAAAATAAAATAAAATGAAAGACAGTGTAGTATGGTGTTCAAGTTGGAGCCCCGGAGAGGCTAAAGCAGCCCCTCTGCCTAGATCCACATGCCTTGGATAAATTATGTATCCTCTCTAGACTCATTTACCTGATCTGTATAGTAGAGATATTAACAGCATCTACTCCAAAGGATTGCTTTGAGAATTGAATCAGAAGATACATGCAAAGTATTTTCCATAAATGTCCCATTACAAACCCTCAGTAAATGAGCTGCTACCTCTGCTGTCATTCTGGTCATTATTATTCCCTCCTTAAACAACCACAGACAGATGAGCTTGAGGAGTTGGCCATCTATAATTGCTGACAACTGAGGGGAAAGCTTGTGTGAGGTTACTGTGGCTTCTAGGGCCACCACTCTCTTCCCAGAGCCCAGAAGAATGCCTGCAGCTTTAGAGGGGCTCAAGAAACGTGTGTGAAGTGAACGAACAGGGGGATAAATGAATGAAGGCATCAGGGAATATAGGTCTTGGATGCTAGCTGTAGGCTGACTAGAAATGCCCTAACAGTTCTGACGAGGGACAGCAGCTACTAACAGCCCAGCACTGCAAAGGGCAACACAGGTGGGCCCTCTCAGCTCGGGCTGGCTAGGAGATGTCCTCTCACTGTTCCGACAAGTCAGCCTGGGGTGTGCACTGAGAGGATGGTGCAACTCTCACTACGACCCTGACTCGATGGCAGACCTCAAGGACTTAGGACACCTGCTTACTCCAGCAAGAGCCATCGAGAGTCAGCTTTTTTTTTTTTTTTTTTAAAAAGATGGAGTTTTGCTCTTATCACCCAGGCTGAAGTGCAATGGTTCAGCCTCGGCTCACGGCAACCGCCTAGGTTCAAGTGATTCTCCTGCCTCAGTCTCCCAAGTAGCTGGGATTACAGGCATGTGCCACCACGCCTGGCTAATTTTTATATTTTTAGTAGAGACGGGGTTTCGCCGTGTCGCCCAGGCTGGTCTTGAACTCCTGCCCTCAGATTATCTGCCTGCCTCTGCCTCTCCAAGTTCTGCGATTACAGGCATGAGCCACTGCGCCTGGCCCAGGGCAAACTTTTTAAGTCTAGTAAAGTAGAGTGACTGGGTGCAGTGGCTCACATCTGTAATCTCAGCACTTAGGGAGGTGGAGGCGGGTGGACCACCTGAGGAGAGGAGTTCAGAACCAGCCTGACCAATATGGAGAAACCCCAGCTCTATTAAAAATACAAAAATTGGCCAGGCATAAATTGTGGGCACCTTTATTCACAGCCACTCGAGAGGCCGGGGCAGGAGAATCGCTTGAGCCCAGGAGGCAGAGTTTGCAGTAAGCCAAGATCGCGCCACTGCACTCCATCCAGCCTGGGTGACCGAGCAAGACTCTCCAGGGTGGGGGATGGTGGAAAAACTAGAGTGAGAAATTCAAGGGGATACAAGAAGAACTGGATAGGAGACAGCATCGTGGGGTCAGCTCCCCACAGGGCCATCTGAATACGTAGTCTAAGATCCCTTCCCTCACACCCCTCATCTGCTTGGAACACTGAGGAACTCATGTTCCCACAGAGCCAAACCCAAAGGCAGCTTGTCATCTGTGAGAGTTTCCCACACTCCGTGGCCCTGGCACCTCTCATGTAATTACCTTATCCTTGGCACCACCTGGGCCATTATTAACTTAATCCTTGGGTTTGAATCAAGTCACTGAAAAAAATTAAATGAAGTTATTTATTAACGAAATTCAAACCTCTATGTTCAACGGGAAACCAGGATTGCTTGCCCTAAATATGAGAAAAAATAAACACTTAGAAACTAAGTATTGTAATTACTGCAGCTTGCCATGATCGCTCTCCTTTGCTCGGGGTTTGAGGGTTTTAGGCCTCCCGTCTATTTACGGTCGGTCGGTCGGTCGGTCTCTCTCTCTCTCTCTCTCTCTCTCTCTCTCTCTCTTTCTCTGCTCAGGGTTTCAGGATTTGAGGCCTCCCGTCTGTTTGTGGTCTCTCTCTCTCTCTCTCTCTCTCTCTCTCTCTCTCTGACCACCCCCTTCCGCTTCTCCACTTCTCTCCACTCTCCCCTACAACTTTCTATGTTAGGAAGGGATGCTAGCGTGTGAAAGCCTCAAAATATGCTAGCCCCTATCTGAGGCTTCCTCCAACTGAAATTTCGAAAGACTGGAAAAAAAAAAAAAAAAAAAAAAAAGGAATGTGAGTCCCTGTTTTTGAAACCACATCCACGTACCAAACCAAATCATCGAGGGCTTTGGAAACTGTAGGTTTCTTTGGAGTTTGGATTCTCAACATCCCACCCACACTAGATAACTGAGTTTACTTGTTACTGAACGCAATGAAGATATACTTTTCCTCGATTCTGAGACGTACTGCAAAAACCTTATAATCTGGATGCATCTTACCACTGCCTGGCTTTTATTAGCCACATTCACTAGAGCTTTACCGGCATCTTTTCTTTTTGTATCTGGGAAGCTGTTATTAGATTGATGACACATCTCATAATGAGGGTGACTGTGAGTCAAGAAAATACGGTTCACCCTAACAGGGCCAATATAAATGAGCCTCTGGTTTGGACGCCAAGCCAACACAACAGCCTCGCTTTCTCCCAGATGTGTTCATCTGATAAAGACATTACAATAGCAAGAAATGATGATCTATAACCCTCTGCTGGAACACTCACACATTCTTGGCCTTGAACGCCTCAGCAAAATGCTGCACGCTACGGAGCAGAGCGAGGTCCAGGGTCATTGCTTCTACCTTGGCTTTATGCTGGAATGAGAGAAAATAAAGAGAGATGATAAATAACAGCAAGTTTAGTTCATGGTTTCAAGTTACAGTAAATGTGTTATGGAACATGTCGGAATTCCCCTGTTTAATATTAGACACCCAGAGAGAATATAAATCATCGGAATGAATGGAAGAACAGGGCTTTTACTGCCAAGTTCGGGGAGGATGTGAGGCTGGGATTCTGCTAAACCTACAAGGTGGGGGATTTGCCGGCGGGGGTGGGGGGTGTTGTGCCGTGTTTCAGTCAACCGCACAAAAGGGGTTGCAAAGGGGCTTCGGGCTAACGTGGCCTCCTCTCCATCTGCATCCTGAAAAGCTGTAAGGACAGGGGAACACAGAACAGGGCCTGGATGATGCAAAGATGGAGAAAGGACAGTATCCTAATTTCAAAAGCTACCATCCAGGTTCTGAAATATCTCCACTAAACCTGCATCAAGAATCAAAGACAACTCCTTTACAGCAAGGACAAAAGCAGAAAGACTCGCTTATGCCAAAGGACTCCGACAGACCTAGATCCCAAAGAGAACCCTGGCTTAGACAACTATCTAAACAGGAGGAGCACATGCTGATGATAGGAATAATAATGGTCAGAACGGCTACTGGGTATTGAGAGCCAACCACGGGCTGGGCATTTGCAATACCATCTCACTTAAGGCTCATAACAACTCAAAACACAGTGTTTCCCCCCATTTGACGATGCAGCATCTCACAAGAGATCACAGGGGTAAGAAATTGGGGGCAAGAACTGACCCCCCAGGTCAATCTGACACAGAAGCCTAACTTCCCTCCTGGCAAAAAACCAGAACAGAGGATAGGATCTGAAGCAGTTGTGTTCCACCGGCCACGTTCTTTACGGCATCGTTCTAGGACAGGTCTCCGTGTTGCCCCTCCCACCTGCCTAATGTGTACAGGCCACTCCAAACTTTTAAATTGGGGTGCACTTCAGCGTGCAAGATTAAATACTATCCCTTCTTAGACCTAGCTCCTCAAAAAGACAAGAAGCCGAGAGCACGGGGCCACCTGCCTATTCAAATAAGAAGAGTCCCGTAAAACTGACTGTTGACTTGGGAATTCTAGTCTAGACTGTGAGGCCTAAGTAAGATTAAGGAGAATAACATGATATCTCTAAGGCAATGAAGAGGGATGCAAATGGCACTGCTGGGAACAGCCTCTTCCCTGAGTGTCCTGTCCAGGCAATGGAAAGGACAGGAGCTGGGCTGAGATGTTCAGTGTATCTGCAGCTGGCTTATCTTGGCCGCCAAGTCCTGGGCTCTAATCCAAGGCCTAAGCTTTGAGCAATAAACATCAGGCAGTGATGGCTAGGAAGCACACTCACTCTAGACCGTTTAACAGCGCCGAGCCTCAGTTTTCCTAATCTGTAAAAAATGAGGATTAGTGATCTACTCATAGGTTTTAAGGATACAGGTTCATAAGCATCTAATATCCTGTCTGGAAAAGAAGGTATTTCATTAACTTAACTAGCAGAGAAGATGTCTCTTGTGCCCAAGTCTTGCCCGGATGTCACTTGACAATGAATGGTATTCAGTGTGGGTTACAGGCCAGCACAGTGGATACAGGGATGGCAATCATGTCCAAAGATGCTTCCTGAAGGCCACATCAGACCAGATTATTGAGGGACAGATCCTAAAGAATCCAAGTCATGTCTGGTAACTAAGCCCAGATTTAAGGAAAGGTGGTAGAAAGTGATTTCATTAAATCTCCAAACCCCAACAGCACATCCGTGGCAGAGGCAAACTGGCCAACAGAGATTTAAATTCCTGGTCTTGGGTAGCAGCGGCAGATGCCCAAACGTGCAGATTTTGGAAGGAGGAGGAGAAACATTAACCTCACCCAGGAAAAGGGGAAAATGCCAACATGTGGGTTGTTAGTTTCCTAAGTTCAGGGAATAATAGAGCTGAAGGGTATGCTATAAGGTGAGGCCGCATCACTCCTTATAAATAATAATTATTATTTTTTGAAACAGTCTTGCTCTGTCGCCAGGCTGGAATGCAGTGGCGCGATCTCGGCTCACTGCAACCTCCACCTCCCGGATTCAAGAGATTTTTCCGCCTCAGCCTCCCAAGTAGCTGGGACCACAGGTGTGTGCCACCACGCCCAGCTAATTTTTTTGTATTTTTAGTAGAGACGGGGTTTCACCATGTTGGCCAGGATGGTCTCGATCTCCTGACCTGGTGATCCACCCGCCTCAGCGTCCCAGAGTGCTGGGATTACAGACATGAGCCACCGTGCCTGGCCTATATTATTATTATTTGTTTTTGGTGATAGAATTTATTAAGCTTCTCACATGTGATAGCACAGAGTTTTAATTGCATCCAAAGTACTAACAAAAGCTCTAGCAGTCAAGAATGGCAGCATGTTATTTTAAAACAATCGACACTTGAGGTTTTTAAAATTTGGTTTTCATAAGGTAATTTATACTGAAGTAAATCTAACCATTTTTTCTAAAAATGCTTTACGTCACGTCAAGCTCACTCCAAGTAGGTAATGGCTAACATTGCAGGTGGAACCCATTTTTGAGGGGTAAATGGCCGACTGTTAGGTGAGGACAAGAGAGTCAATCTGCCAAGGTGAGTCTCTTCCGCTATAAGGAAGGAGACTGCCACCATGAACAGTAAAGGCACCTGAGTGAAGTCACACCCTGTGCGAGGTATAGACCTCCAGATGAGGAGCAGAACCCGACAAGCTGAGTCACTGGTGCTTATTCAAGGATTAAAAATCTTTTCCATGTGTAATACATGTCAGTGTCCCAGAGATGCTCATGCCTCATCAACACAACCACTTAACTGGGCATTCAGAGTCAGCAAGCAAAGTGACTTTTCATCATTCCAAGTCCTCTGCTCCCTACCTCCTTTTACTCGGAGCATGACACTCACTGCCACAGTGCAGAATCTTACAGAAATGTGAATGGATCACAAGGGGAAAGGCAGCCATTCATTGTATTGCAGAGGGGGTGGTAAAGAAACTGTTCTGTTCAGCAAAGTCCCCAGTGGAAACGCCATGGGACATGCAAGCTGCATATAAAAATGCATGTCCATTTCCTCCATAAAACAGGAAGAACATTCCCAGATGGTGACCCCAAAGCAGTATTTCAACAGAAATGATAGCACGGCGCATATGTTCTTCTATATAAGTAACTTACAACTCGTCAGTTTTCTTCCCCTTCCCTTCAAAATAAAGAACAGAGCTGCCACTACCAGTAAGAACCAAATCAGAACATATACCTCTAAGGGAAAAAGGGGTCACAAGCCATCAAGTAGTTCAACAGACTAATCCACAAGCTGTGGGTTACTAGGCTCCTGGGGGTAGTGACTCAAGTCCACACGCTAATATTCAGGTAATTCTCTTGCCCTAGGTATCAGGTTTCCCATTTCTGCTATGAATCCTGAGCAATGGAGAGAAACTGGAGGCAATACAGGAAGTCCAGGGGATGGAAAATGCAGCTTTTAAATTAGGGTGTGTTTATGTGTTTACATGTGTGTTAGGGGGTTTGCACTTTTGATTGTCTAACTTAGAAGCTTTACAGACATGTTTGTAGTGGGACACGCTCTAAGTAAGAAGGTAAGGGCTGACAGATTGCAAACAGAACCCATTTTTGAAGGGTGAAGTGCTGATTGTTAGGTGAAGACAACACACGCCATCCACCAAGGTGAGATTTCCTGCCAGGTCTGGCAGTGAATCTGCAACTGACTACAGTTCACTTTCTTGGTTTAACTCATGATATTTTTGTTGTTAACTTTCATCTGAAACTAATTAGAGCTTCACAAAACATGGCCAAACAGGGATACAGAACACCGCTATCCCCATCATCCAGCTTCCCCCATATATGCATCCTACATACAGACAGTGCGTTAGCCAAAGCTCGAGATCAACATCAGCACGACACAATTCACTAGACCACAGTCATTACTGGGCTGGCACCTGCTGTGCTTTGACTCTGTGTTTCCACTCAGATCTGGTGTTAAACTGTAATCCCCAGTGTTGGAGGTGGGGCCTGATGGCAGGTAACTGGATCATGGGGCTGGTGAAAAACAGTTTAGCACCACCATCCCCCTAGTGCTGTCTTCTGACAGAGGTGGCCTGAGGGCTCTTTTTTTTTTTTTTTTTTTTTTTTTTGAGACGGAGTCTCGCTGTGTTGCCAGGCTGGAGTGCAGTGGTGTTATCTCGGTTCACTGCAACCCCCACCTCCCAGGTTCAAGCGATTCTCCTGCCTCAGCCTCCTGAGCAGCTGGGACTACAGGCATGCACCACCACGCCCAGCTAATTTTTGTATTTTTAATAGAGACGGGGTTTTCACCATGTTAGCCAGAATGGTTTGATCTCTTGACCTTGTGATCTGCCCATCTAGACCTCCCAAAGTGCTGGGATTACAGGCATGAGGCACCATGCCCAGCTGAAATCTGCTTTTTAAAAACAGTGTAGCACCTCCCCTCTCTCTTCCTCCTGCTCCCACTCAGTAAGATGTACCTGATTCCCCTTCACCTGCTATGATTGGAAGCTTTCTGAGGCCTGCCTAGAAGCAGAAGCCTGCACAGCCCAAAGAACCATAAGCCAATTAAAACTGTTATTTTGGTAAATTATACATTCTCAGGTATGTTTATATAGCAGTGTGAGAACAAACTAATACAAGTTGAGATGCGTTTATTTTCTTTTTTGCTGTATTTTTGTGCATAATTCTATGACATTTTATCACGTGTATGGATTCATATAACCATCACCACATTCAAGACACAGAACTGTACCATCACCACTAATCAAACCATGACTTTTATTTACAAGTGTTAGAATTAGCACAACCCATCTAGAACATGAAAAGTTCAGGCCTTATTTGGCCAAAGCCTGCTCTCTGCATTGACAAACCAACAAAACCCCCTTTAGTACATCAGAGTGGCCAATAAGGTGCAGTCTGATTGCCTTAGCGAGGCTCACAAGATCCTCTGCACCAATCAGGATGTGCTTCAGTA